GAGGAGGTCCAGCCGCGATCAAGGAAGACGTGGCGAAGTTGCAGAAGCCACTGGCGGCCATCTTGGTGGGCAAGGAAATCCCCTGGGTCATCCAAGCGGCACTGGGCGCATCGGGCTACGTCACGGTGGAAGACCTGGCGGATCGCTGGAACACCCCGGCTGCGGCCAGGGAAATGGTCCCCGGGACCTGGGATTCCAGGATGGAGAGAATGGATTCAACGCCCAGACCTCGGCCTTCACGGCAATGCGCCTCCTTCAGGCAGTACGGGTGGCAGCAAACTTGGTCAGGGGGGGCAACCAGGGTGACCACCCGGCGGGCCATGCGGGCCCGATAAAGGCTCTCTTAGAAGTCCTGTGTGACAGGCGCCAGCTGGAAGATGCTTATGTGGCCACGCATGGGGCCCCGAAGCCGAGGTTGGAATTCCAGGGTAGTGATGGCTACCTCAAGAAGCAATGGCGCATGATTGCCAAGGGCGAATTGGGCTACATCCCGGCAAAACACATCGTGAGCGCGCTCCCGGAAGAAGGGGAACGCCCTTCATCCACCCACAAGAAGATCACGGTGGACGGCTGGGACAGGGAGGATGAAGAAGAGGTGAGGAGCCACCCTGCATCTCGGCGCCAGCTGGAACGGTTGCACCTAACCTTCAGGACGACGCTCCTGATGTGCACGGCAGCATTGCCGCAATTTGGCAACCTGAGGGTCACCAAGGAGGAGTTGGATGACTAGTATGCCTGGTTCTATGGGGAGGACATAGCCGGCAGGAAACCTCCCCCGAGCGACACCACCTTGCTGTTTGCAGAGCGCAATGCATGGCGCAAGATTCACGAGATGGTGCACCAGGGCACCACTCTCTCCGAAGCCCTCAAGAACATCAGGGGCGACTTCCTCTTCTGGCAACGGGAGGTCTATGAGCACCTCAACAGGGCGCCGACGAAGGGGAAGAGCAAGAGCAAGGCACCCAAGGTGTGGCAGACTCAGTGGGGGAAGCTACCCATTCCAAGCCGAAGGGCAAGGGCGGCAAAGGGAAGCCCCCCAACACCTCCTCGACCCCATGGCCAGACCACTGGGCTTTCAAGAATCCCAAAGGGGTGGCGTACTGCAGGGATCATCACCTTCACAACAAATGCCCTGGATCATGCGGTCGATCCCACAACTGCCCGGTCAGGAAGGATGGGTGGGTGTGTGATGCCCCCCCAGCGAAGCATGTGCCACAGGCATGCCCACACCTCCCCAAGTGACAGGAGGCCACTCAGGGTGCCACGCAGCGGGGGAGAGCCAATCCCACCAGAGCCACAGCGGAAGGCAGACAGAGTTGGGGCAGGACGGCCGCAGGTGGGAGGTGCCACCGGCCCCGGAAGCCCCTCCACCGAAGAAAGGGAGTGGATCCAGCCAGAGCACTCCAGAAGGGCGGAAGCACCCTTTTCCCCCGCACCCACCGAGGCAGTGGGAAGAACCTGCAGAGAGACGCAGAGGTGGGGATCCGCCCAGCAAGGGGCGTTCCAAGGGCGGGCAGAACCGTCAGGGCAAGCAGCAAGCCCAGACCCAGACGACCAGTGGGTCGGACAAAGGACACACGGAAACCCCAGGGGGGACAAGCCCCACCTTCCCCTGGATGCAAGACACCCCGGAAAGACTGAGGTCCAGACTAAGGTGGACGCCACGACTGGTGCCGGAGTCGTCGAAGCCGACCCTCATCCTGCTGCACGCTGGGAAGGACGACGCCTAGGCAGTGGACATTAGGCGAAAGGGTGGCGATCTTGGACATGACATGCTGGGAGACGAGCCATACTCTACAATGTGCTCCATAGCCATGGCGGGCAAGGTCGCCTTTGTGGGGGGCGGCCCCAACTGCACAACGTGGAGATGGTTCCCCAAACCGGGAGGCCCGCCCGGAGCAGACCCTGTAGGGCTTGGAGGACCTGGAGCCCCGGGTAAGGGAGGACACGGACAACGACAGCGTGCTCATGCTCCGACAGATGTACCTGACCTCGCTGGCCTACCAAGGACTAGGTCAACGAACGGTCCCGCAGGTGGGCTCCTCCTTCCTGGAGCACCCGATGGACCCAATGGAGTGCAGCAAGAGCCCGAGCGCAGCGAGGTGCTCATCGATCTGGGTCACACGGGCCTATATTCAATGGGCGAACGCACTCCACCACTCCCTCATCAAGTTTGACGAGTGCCGCCTGGGCCAGGTGGTAGTGAAGTCCACGACATTGTCAACGGACCTTCCCCTTCACCATTGGCATGATCTGCGATGCAACCACGGAGCTCACCCCAGGGGGGAAAAGCTCAACTCCAGTGACCTCAGCCGGTACCCAGAGCAGATGATGCAGGGTCTCGCAGCGGCCATCCTCTGCAGAGCGGGACCCGTCCTGGAGGCGCTGAGGCCGGGGGGCACGGTGCCCCATGGAGATCTCGGATCGGCCCACCACCCTGCCGATCACGCACGACCCAAATCTCTCCGACAAGGTTATGTACCTCCAGATGGCCTTCGAACAGCGCCCCCTCAGGCTGGCCCCGTGGACTCGGCCATTGTCCAAAGCAGCAGCGCTGGGGGCCAAGATCTGTGTCCTCACGTCGCCATGGGGGGACAAACTCCAGGAGTCGCTCTCGTTGGGGGACGGGTCACACCTGCTGGAAGATATCAGGGAGATCCTGGCGCCAGGGGCAGGCCGACCAGCGGAAGGCCAACCCTTCTTCCTGGACATCTTGCACAGCCTGGCGATGAACATTCAGGACTTCCTCGGGATCTGGAACAAGGGGTCCCACTGAAATTCACGGACCCACCCTAGTCTCGCCGGGCATCTGGCCACTCAAGAAGGAGCTAAAAGGGGAGGAGCCGGAGTTGCAGGAACTCCCTCATCCCACGGGCCGGGGTAACTACCCCTCAGCGGATCACTTCAGTGAGCTCATCCGTAGCACATTCCTGGAGGAGGTCCCCATGGGCATGGTAGATGGCCCTCTCACCAAGGTAGAGGCAGCAGCGCGCTGTGGCTGCAATATGGAGGATCTTTGCCCAGGCGCATCGACGAAGGGGACAAGATCCGCACCATCTACGATGGCTCGGTGGGCGGGGCCAATGACACCATCAGGAACCAGACGGTGGAAAGGACGACGGCTCGGCCCCGAGAGGGAGGTCGCTAAACCTCCACCCAAGGGCTGGCAATGGCCGGAGCCGGGCACCAGGTGGGTGCTGCTCAAGGCGGACGTCACCAAGGCCCACCGGAGAGTGAAGGTCCTTCCTTGGCGGTTCCAGGTGGCCTCACTGGGGGAAGAATGGTGGGTGAACAAGGTAGGCATACGGCATGGCCAGTGCCCAATCCTACTGGGGACGCCTGGCAGCCCTTCTACTCAGGGTCCTCTACGCACTTTTCCCTCAAGTGGATTGGAACTTCGTCTTTGTGGATGACTTCCTGTGGCTGCTTCGCAGTAAGGGGGCAGTGAACTTGGCGGTGGCGCTGTTGGCAACACTCCTGGCCTTGGGCACCCCGCTTAGCTGGAAGAAGACACATTTGGCGGAGGTCAACACGTGGCTGGGCTTCGTGGTCCACCCGAACATCCCGCAGGTTCTCATGGCCGCCAACAAACACATCCTGGTGATGGAGGTCTTGCAGATCATGGTGGAAGGGCAGGCGATGCACTCAAAGCACATCGAAAAACCCTGGGCCGCATCCAATGGGCAACTCCTCCATGTCCGCTGGCGAAGTCGATGCTTCAGCCACTGTGGGCCTGGAAAATGGCCACCACCACGGTGGGGAAACCCCCTAAGGTGGTCAGGATGCTGGCGTTCATGCTGCGGTTCCTCTTCAACACGCCCTTCGTCCAGTACTCCCCTTACTTGCCGAAGTCCTCTTGGTGGGGTTGCAGCGATGCTAGCGCCTCGGATGAAGGACTGGCATTTGTGGGAGGCTGGTGCTCCAACAAAGTGGAGCCGGAGAAGAAGGAGGTGTACTGGTTCCACGAGCAGATCCACGTGGAGGAGTACCCGTGGGCATTCAAGAATGGGGATCCCAAGCGGAGGATTGCGGCTCTGGAAATGCTGGGCACGCTCTTCCTCTGTAACATGATCCTCACGCACCAAGGCCCTCTGTCCTCCCGGGTCCGACTCCCGGTGGGCAGTGACAATCAGGGCAACGTCATGGCGATGCTCAATCTTGGATCCAAGAAGCCCTACACCGCGGCTATCCTGAGCCCCGGGAATTCAACCAGTGGGCCGATGAGCTGACGCACCCCAGATTTCTCGGGGTTCGACCCTTTGCACAGAGTTCCTAAACAGGAACTCTGCGAGGAGTTCATTTTTCTCCCGCGTCTCCTGAATGGAGATGCATTTGATCTTAGCGTGGGCCCACCCATGCTCCCGTGACCGGAGCCGGTGGGTGACTCACTTCCCCTGGTGGCAGACCCCCCTGTGGCCTGGGTGCCCCTGGCCCCGGCCCAGGGGCGGGCGCTATCAGTCTGCACACCCTTTCTTCAGTTTTTGAGAGTTTGTGGTGGGTGGCCCATGGGGCCCACCCAGCCGTAGACATCTGACAGGGGAAGATGAGTCCCTGGCACCAACACATTGCTTGGATAAAAGAGTTGTCGCTTGCTTGTGTGGTGCCGTTTGGTTAGCTTACATACACATTATATAATATATACATATATATATATGTACATGTTTTAGCTGTCTATACATAGCAGATATGTATGCATGTCACATGTGTATGGGCTGAATTGTTTTCAATTGCGAATTATGTTACAAGTTTTGAACGCCATCAAACCCCAATCCTGTCACATGGTGTTTGGACTTGTTTGGCACGTGGCACCTGCGCATGTGTTATTCTGTGCTTGGAAATTTCCTTTGGTCCTAAGGGGAGTGGCCCTTTCCCAAATAGAAAGCCTTTTCGTCGCCGCTTTTGGTTGCCTTGAACCCGAGCCCTTCAATTTGGTTTTACTGGTTTCCGCTCGAAGCTCACCTTGCTCATCGGGCCTTTCGGATCTTTTGGATCTTGGGGAGGCGCACGGCAACGGGTACAACACCACACTCTACCTGGACGCAAAGGAGAAGAGGTACATCGAGGAGTTCTCGGTGTGCAACTTTGTGGGCATCACCAAGGCGTGATCCACCGAGTACGGGAGTAGCAATCCCGCCGAAGGGAGAGTGCAAATGAAGGTTGTGTTCTTAGAAAGTGGGGGTTACCTATTCTTGAGCCACAGCCGTTTCGGGCTTCCCCCACCATGGCCGAACCAAAGTACAATCAACATGTTAAGGCCTGATTGCGCTGATAGATATCAAGGGATTCTTTGTTCTGTTGGCAAACCTCCTGCACCCCCCATGCAGTGGCATGACTAGGAAGGGAGACAATCACATATTCGATCAAAACCAGAGGGAACTTGCGTGCTAAGTGGAAGGCCAGAGGCTGCAGGCCCGTGAGTTTACATGTTGGACTGGGAGTGGACTGAGAAATTCAGGTTGCACATTGAGTTCAGCAGATGGAATAAGCTCTATGTTGTCTACCAATGCTACACAGCTTCTAGTGCATGATTCCAAGACTGAATTGCCCACAGATCCAAGCTTGGAGTGCACAGCTCGGGCCCGGAGGTTGGTAGAGCATCATGCAGCATGGGTGACTTCCTCATCCAAGCTTAACTGCTGCATTGTGTGTTGTCAGTCCCAACATTGTTGCTGGGTGTCAAAACAGGACTTCTGCTCATGGTTGATTTCCGGTTGGTTTCTTGATCAACCAAATTGGGCGTCCCTTCCGGCACGTTCCCATGTCTTAGTTCAGCAGAAAGAACATGTGCTTGCACCGCGTTTGGATGGCAGCAGAGCACACCAATCTGAGTGTAGTGAGAGATTATGGAAGGCAGCTCCGAACAAGGCAACGCCGAAATCACAGTGGTAGAACATTGGCATTGGGTCCTTTTGGTATCCTTACTTATGTCACCTTGCCACAAGGGTATTTGGAACAATCCTGAGTTTTTTTGCGGGCATGCACTCATTTCGGCAAGAACACGCCAATGAAACACGTGCTTTGAGTTTACAAGGGGTTGCTTCGCGAGATTGAAATCTGATTTTGGCAAGGATGGGCGCTACGTGACCCCAAAGTCCGACACCATTTTGCAGTCGACCACCAACATCATGTTGCAGCAGTTGGCCAGAGATCGCGGCATGATTGTGGAGGAGCGGCCCATTGACTTTGAGAAAGAGATTGAGAACTTCAAGGAAGTTGGCACCTCGCACGGCGATTTTCAAATCCAGTCTGTAAAGCATGGTTGTGGGAAGTGGGGAGATATAGGGCCACTTGTTGTGATTTGGGTTCCAAGGTAGGTCCCTGCGGGACCGATTTTGGTATCACCGAAAGGTATGTTTTCCACCATGACCCGAGGGCTTCCGAAATTCAAACCCTCAACCTGAGCATGTTGGACTTGGAGCAAAGGAAGTGTGGAACTCCTGGCTTCTCTCTGTGTGGGTGTGTTCCCGAATAGAAATCAAACCGTGTTTTTTTTTTTCTCGGAGCTCCTGTTCAGTATGTCAAAGATTGCAGGAAGTGACAAACCGGGTTCTGCAAGAAATGACAAACCGGGCCTTGGTCCCAGAGAGTTTGTGTTCATGCTGCTGCCACTTTAAAGCTGTCTTGTTGCGAGGCTTAGGAGCAGAGTCCATGGTAGGCTGATATGCTGGATCTGCTCGGGCTCGGCCCAGACTGGTGTTTTATGGCTGGTTGCTGGGGAGGGAGCTTCTTTGGTTTTAAACTTAGCCAGGCTGGTCTTTGTTAAGTACGCTTCATGGTATTTAGATTGTTCCTTGCGCCATTCGTTTCGTGAATTCAATCCGTGAGGTATGCAAGCAGCTAAGCAGACACGATTGCCTAGCGTCACATTCGGAATCAATTTCCCAGGAACAGCAACGCGCAATTGCTCTTGTGCTTTCTTGCCGCAGTATTCTTGCGTCATCTCCGCTGCAAGCCAGCCAGTCTGCATTTTCACTGCCAGCTTGAATCAATGTCGGTCAGCCATTTAGGTATGTGTGGCACCGCGGCGGTGGTGGTTAAGGTGAACTCTATCACCTTTGGTGAGAAGACATTCGACTTTGAAGACTTCGCAGCTTGGCTTGAACATCAGGGGGATTGAACATATGGGCAGGGAACAACACAATCGTGCATGAGCAGCAGCGCTGCTGAAAGATGTCTTCCAGTCCCCTTGCGTTATTTGTGATCTGGTACTCTAGATGGTCCATCACATTAGAAGTGCTTGATTTCGGACGCTGCACCCCACGAACTGTGGATGGCAGTCAAAAGGATCTTCGTTCCAAACAGGGTAATTACTGTTTAAGGGTATGGTGCAAGCCGAATTGCGCGATGCTTAATCATTCGTGGGCGCTTGTCACAGCTGCATGCTCTCCTGAAAATCAACATAGAACCCAAAACGAGGAGTCCATTCATTTGCCACAAGGAGATTGATCTAGAATCCAAAACGATGCTGCGTCGGAGTCCATGTCAATCTGCGTATAGGCTCTTGGCCTTCAGTCAGACCTAAGTAATGATGGTTTGTTGGGTTCTACCCAAATCTGGGGAGTATCCATTGAACTGCCAAGGATGTCATCTCCGGGCTGCGAAGCCAGCTCACTGCAATCCAGTGCCCGGCGCCCGGTTTGGGACGGGAAAGATCACATTGGATGGGCAAAGCATAGAAAAACCCAGGAGTGCCAAGCCTGGTTGAAGTCGGGGGTTCCAAAGTGAACCCTTCACTTTCAACAGGGGAGGGGCCCCCTGTTTGTCCTGGCGGATTCCGTTTGCTTGCTTCATTTGAGGCGGGGAAGCAGAAGACAAGCACGGCTGGATGAAGGAAGTCTGCGACTGTGTGAACGATGAGATCCCTGAGGTCGGCTTTGTACTTGACTCACTCCCTGAGTTTCTGGGCTTGGACCTTTGGGAAGACCATTTTAGTGGCCGGCACTCAAACAGCTGGGACTCATTTGGACTCTTTTTTTGGAAGTCGATCCCCAAAGGAAGTCGATCCTTTCATGGGCGATGTGCATGCGATTCGCTCCGAGACCCACACTAGGCTGACGGAGACTCGACAACAGGTTGAGGAATCGCTTAAATACCATGGGGCACAGGTTTCGCCTCACAGCCGTAGCCGACACCGCTTTCAGAGGTGGCTTTTGTGTACCGCCGGGACTTTCTTTTTCGTATCAGTGCGTGTAAACTCGTTAAACATCAGGTGGCATTTGAGGTTACAGGCCTCAAAGGGGCAAAAACAAGGGGAGGTGGCAGGCTGGTTACAATTTACTGTGTTCTATGCTATTTGCAGTTCCCACGGCCACCACCGCTTTCAGGAGGACTTGCTTGTGCTAGGGACCCCATTTCAGGCATGTTTCGTGCTGCCGGCCCGGTTCTGCGTCCTCCTCCTCCGCTTCCTCTCTGCTCCTTGTTCTGCTCCCTGATCCTTCTGCTTCTTCTCCTGCTCACTCTTTCTCCTGCTTTCTTGCGCACAAAGGAGTACTGTTTTGCTATAATGGGGAATTGAGCACTAACTGCGCTACCGGGTTCAGAATTCGGTACTCCGTCGAACTGCCCAGCAAGGTTTGAATGTGTTGCAAGATTGCAGTTCCTTGAGTGAAGCTCCGGAATGAATTTTGTTGAGCTGAGGCGACGTTGTCGCGAAGAGTCCATTGCCGAGTTTCGATTGTGGTGACCCTCAGATGCTGCGGCTTTCCGCGGACACAGCCACCTACTTGGGCCATGGTTTATTTGGGACCCGCCTAAAAATAAGGGCTCCGAATATGTTTGACAACCCACCAGTTCCCCCCATGCGCAGATCTTCCCGGTCCAGAGCGCCTCCTATGCGCCCGACATGGTGACGGCTGAGGCGCAAGCGTTTGGCCGGTGAGTCAGGGAGCTTGTCATGAGGCCAACAGCCAGAGGCAAAGCGATTCATCATGAAGGGCACCAGATTTTGGGATGCTCCCACACACCTCAATGGGTCAACAAACTTTACAAAGGTCTGGTGCATTTTCATGGGATGCAAGTTCCTTTCAGTGGAAATTTGGATCACTTTCAGGGATGCTATCCCCAACAAGCCTGATTGATTGATCCAGGACCCCGTTCAGCTCCCCCACAGTTTCCCGTCAGCTTTCTTTAGTATTGGAGAAAGAGCAGCCTCGGTGGCTCGAAATGCAAAGATCAGTCTTGATGCCCATTATCTACTAGATTCTTTGTGGGATGCATACTTATAACCCACGTATCCAAGCATAAGTGAGACCACTCTGCTATATGCCACCACTCCAAGCACAACATAGCAACTGCCATGTCCATACTTAGAGGAATGCCTTGTTTACGAAAGCCGCATCTCACAACTTCCACAGTTTTGGATCAGTTAAGAGTCGTGCAAAAGGACAATTGCATGATCGGCAAATGCAGACGAATGCAGACGACCAGGCTAGTCACTTATCAAGCAGTCATGGTCGCAAAGCAATTCGGCACTCAGTGTAGCCAAAATATGTCCTGATGAAAGCTCCTTTGCCGGGGTTCCCTTTTTCTTGGCTGGCGAATTGTGCTAACTATAGCTTCAACATGGCCGATTCCTTAGAAACCCTAGCACTGTCTACGTCTAGCACCAATGAAAGCGTGGCAACCAACAGGTGTCTCTATAGCGATGTTCAACACCAGAATGAACATCCAACAGGCTCTGCCAAAACCTTCGTTGCAAGGATCGAACGGGCAATTCGCAGTTCGGGTACGGGGCACCAAAAACCCTGTGCATTTCTGTGGTTGACTCCTTCGTGCTACTGATGGGGCTGGTAAGACGCTACTGTGGGCGCTTGCCAAGATTTTGCCCATGGTGCTGGTGACAGATTTTGCTAGTATAGGAGTGATATTATACAAAACGAGACATATTTGTACGAAGTATAAAGGTGTGTGTGTGCGTGAGCGCGTGCGTTTGGGTGTTCGTGTGTGTGTGTGTGTGTGCGGAGTGGCAGAAAACCCTGCCACCAAAACCTTTTTCCGTTGCAGCAGGGGAGATTAGCTTGGATTTGCACTAGGCAGGAGCACCATGGCAAGTCTCCTGCCAACGAAGACACTTGCCATCGGTGGTGATACTGGGACTGATCATCCCAGCGTACCTGCATGTGTAAAGTGATGTTGCTGAATGTCCTTTTGGCCCCCTTGGTTGCGGCGCTGTTTGTGCTTCTTGTTCTTTCTGGTAACGTTTTCGCCTCTAGAGGGAAACCGAGTGCTTCGCGAGTCGAAACTTATCCTACTCGAGACTTGTCAGTTGTACTCGAGACTCATCAGTTGTACTCGAAAGATTAGCACTCTCCATCTGGAGTTCAAGTGTGTACACCCCATTCGTGGGGAATCCTCGGGTGTACCCATTGTGTGACCCCGGGCCGGCTCTGTCGGAAAATTTGACCTCAACGTGCTTATCATAGAACAGCGGAATTTCACATTTAACCAGGAACGAGGTTTCACTAAAGGGAAGAAAGCCGTCAGATCATAGCGACGTCTCACTCGGTCTACCGTTGGCTGCTGGCTTGAACTTGCATGGACTTGCATTTATCGGACTTGTTCCTCTCAAGAGTGTTGAGTTGCGGTGTTGCATTTGTTGTGCCATCATGTCTCGACGTGAAGATCGAGATAGATCTAGGACTCGGCGCAGACGTGATCGGAGTCCTTCCCCTCAAGCTCGCAAAGCACGCCGACGTGAACACAATGACAGCCAGGTCTCGGAGAACATGGATTGGAACAACCTGGTTTCATGGCAACACAATTCCGGCTACAACGCTGCCAACAACTTTCCGATGATACCTACCAACTTTCAATCGACTCACAATCCCACACAACAATTCCAACACCCAGCGATCAACTACATGATGCCGATCCCTCCAGACCCCACGCCAACCAAGTTCATGCCACCCGTGATGCCACCACCGGTCACTACTTCCCAACCTACACCGCCACCTGGACCTCCTGCAGCTCTACCGGTTCGTCCTCAGAAAGCCTGGCTTACACCCTCGCCTGACTGGACACCTGGAGATGGCATGTTTGATGTCAATCAGCTCTACAACTTCAGCCTGCCCATGACTGTTGCCAACACTCCGCATGGCAACCTTCGCGACATGTCAGGCATGGATATTAGGGACGTACGCCTGGTTCAGGTTATCCACGGGGGCCTCACCAACTGGCTACTCAGGCCGTTTGCTCACGGCAGATTCGTGACGTGGGAAGGCTTTCGCACTCGCACCGAGGCCTTACTTTGGAGTACCTGTTCCAAACTACTACGAAGATCACAGTCACTCAACCTGCTCACCCTGGAAAAGGACCTTGCCAACACGCTGGGTCTCAACATCGATGACTTCAATCAGCGCATCAAGGTCCACGACCATTTGGCCAGCTTGGTACTTCAATTTCTTCAGCAACATCACACCTCTCTCGCACCTGCCACCCAGACAGATGACATGGTCAAAAAGTACAATGATCTAAATCGTGCGCACGAACTTCTCCAAGCTCAGTATTCCGCATCGCTTCGCGCTTCGACCTCTCCCACGATGACAAACCAGAAGGATGATGCAGAGTTGGTTACACCGCCACCGGTCAACCACACACCATCCTCGTGACCTGCCAGCTCCCTTCCTACAGCCAGCGTAGCGGCCCTGGATGGCAAGTCGTTTGATAGCGCGGTGCAACCTCGGATCATTCAGTCTCTTCACGGAGTGTCGTCACCGCCGTCCAAACCGGCGGCGTCACAATTGCTCACCATGCACAGCACGCCGGATGAAGTTGTCAAGTACTACACATGGACCAGTGACCAACCTCGCCTTTATCTCAAGCAATCACCCACAACCACCACTTTGGCATCGCTGGTTAAGTGGGCCAATCACCCGTCCCGGCTCAACGGCAACAAGTCATTAGATTCTATGGCGACGCAGCTCCTTCAGGCGCGGCAACGCATGCCGAAAGGCGACGCACCCACTCTCGGGGCGATGGCGGCTTCGTGGGGACTAGAGCCCGGCTATCTTACCAAACTCACTGAGAAGGCATTGAGTCACCTCATCGTGACCGCTCGCCTACTCTGTGGATGAGAAGGCATCATGATGACCTTCGTTCTCTTATGAGCCCGGAGCGGCAACAATGTCACGGATGAGTCCAGGTGAAAACTCGTCCGTCAATTTTCTGCGTTGCACCAGTTTGATCTTGTACTTGCTCGTTCTTGCATTGCCTTTTGTGTGATTGTCTGTGATGCTTGTATTCATGTCGCCGCCTTGTGGTAGATTTCATTGGTTGTATCTCACCATGTTGGATGAACTTCGCCGCTGCGGAATCTATGATGATGTTGCACAATGGCAGTCGCTGGACGACCTTCTACACTCGTTGACCATGTTCTCTACGTGCTGGCAGTACTGTTTTCCTGGACTACCACCACCGTCGATTCCAACTGAGGAGTACGAATCAATCACACAATTGCCGTGGCTGGGTCTCATCCTCGAAGTCTTAGTTGTGGTCCGGATAGCCCTTCAGATTCCGAATCACGCTATGTCACACTCTCAGCACACCGTGGCCAACAGGTATGAGCTTCACAGATGTCGGTGCACTGCCTATTTATTGATTAGTTTCTTACAACGTCTCATTTCACAAGATCACGGCTACTTCCCGCCGTTCTTTGAAGTCCTTCACTTCTACAAGACTTCTCTCTTGTGTGAAATCATGCACTCTACTTTTGCTGACACGCGACATCTACGCTCATTGCGGGCGCGATTTCCTGACCTCTATGACTTCATACACGATCCAGGTCATCATCAACAACCGTGCGTCTACATTCGACTTTCCCCATGGCACACACCCTACTATGTTGGGGCGACTGATCAGGATGTTCTACGTCGTGAACACTCACGCAGTCGCAAATTTCTACAACTACTTCGTGGACGGCATGCCTTCTTCGAACCAGCGCTTCACTACTGGAAGAGATCCAATACTTACTGGCTCTTCTGTGCTGTTCCGGTGGAAATCAAACTTCCTGTTTCCTCGGTGTGGGTTCAAGAAAGCAAATGGCAATACTTGCTACGCCCGCATTTGAATGCGCCCTGGGTACACAGAATCTTGCGCAAGGTGGGCTTCCGGGAACATCTCGTGGATTTTCGACGTCACTCGTTGTCGTCTCCCACTTCCCTCAGCTTGCACAAGCGCTTTCGACGACGACTACATCCGGATCTCCAACGGCAACTACGACCTGACATCCTGGATGACATTCAGGCCCATTACTCTATTCTCTATCAGCTGGGATCGAATACAGGAGCATCGTTCCAAGTCATGCGTGACCTGCTGTCGGCGGCTTTCCCTCCCACTCAGCTGTACTACTTATTGCGGCTCGCAGTCTTTGTCAACGAGCCCTTCCGCCCCAAGGCGCAGAAACTCCTCGCCCAGGTGTTGCGCAAACGACGGCTACAACCACCCACCACTTTGACACAGCTACTCTTACCGCCGCTGCATGTCCGGAATTGGAAAGCTCTACTTGGCACATGGCTACAACGCTGGATTGCTTCTCATCGGGATCTGTTCCCTTCTCTTTTCATTCCAAAGATCCGGGTGGTGGAAACTCGCAGCGCCACATTGGGCGACAAGATATACAACTACCGCACATGGCAGCGCAGATGGACTCCTGAAACATCCTTTCCGTGTCGCTGTTTGGACATCGATGATCACCATATACACCGTGCACATGGTCACGTAATGGTGGATGAGTTTTCTCGCATCAATGCGGACATTGACACTGAAATCATGGCCGCCTCAATGAAGGATCAGTATTTCGGTGATGTCGACTTATTGCATCAACGTTTCACCACGCAACTTCGCAAACTTGCTCGCCGTTGG